TTTTTTGTTGCAGTTTGGCTGGGGCTGGGTTTGAACCTGCCACCCTCAATATGTGGGGATGGTGCCCTCCATGTTTTGACTGACTGGGTACATTATCAATGGGCAGTATTATTTTGAAAGGAATTGTTTTTCTTCTGAGCAATAGTTGTCAAAAGTGGGCTTATAATACTTAAGTAAACCATGCTGTGAATAAACCTGCTGTCATCCAAGTTTTGTGGTTCATTTCTAGGGCACAGGCAGAGTAGATTTACCATAATTCTTAAGGGTCCTAAGATTTTTAGAATGTTAAATGAGTGGCTTCACCCTAAAATCACCAGCTGCATCAGACCCTAACGAGAGTCGGCCTGTCCTTTGAAGCCAGGGATCAACTTCTCTCTAGCTATGAAATTCCTAGATGGCATCTTCTTTCAGTAGAAGGCTGTTGTCTATATAGAAAATCTGTTACTTAGTGTAGCCACTTTCATTGGTGATGTTGTGTAGATCTTCTGGGTAATATGCTGCAGCTTCTCCATTAGTACTTGCTGCTTCATTTTCCACTTTATGTTATGAAGATGGATTGTTTTCTTAAACCTTAGGAAGCAGCCAGCCTCTCCTAGCTTTAAATTTTTCTTCTGGAGCTATCTCACCTCTCTTAGCCTTCATAGAATCAAAGAATTAGGGCCTTGCTCTGGATTAAGCTTTGGCTTGAAGGAACATTGTAGATGGGTAGATCTATTTAGATATCTCTCTTAAACTTTCTTCATATTAGCAATAAGGCTGTTTTACTTTTTTGTCATTTCTATGTTCACTGCAACAGCACTTTTAAATTCCTTCGAGAACTATTCTTCTGCAGTCACAACTTGGCTAGCAGGCACTTTGGTAAGATGGCCTAGCTTTTGGCCTCTTTTGACTTTGGACACTCCTTCCTTGCTAAACTTAATCATCTCTAGCTTTTGGTTTAAAGTGAGAGACATATGACTCTTCATTTGAACACTTAGAGGTCATTGCAGGGTGATTAACTGGCCTAATTTAAATATTGTTTTTTTCTCAGGGAACAAGGAGGCCCTAGGAGAGAGAGACAGTCAGGGGAATTGCCTATAGGTGAAATAATCAGAATAAGCGCAAGCTTTATCAGCTAAATTCACTGTCTTATATGGGCATGGTTCATCACATCCCACAACAATTACAATAACATCAAAGATCACTAATCACAGATCACCACAGTAGATATATTGCAAGAATTAGCCAATGTGACACAGAGACGTGAAGTGAGCACACGCTGCTGGAAGGTTGGCACTGACAGATTTGCAGAGCAGGGTTGCCACAGATCTCCAGTTTGTAAAAAATATGGTGTCTGGAAAGTGTAATAAAGTGAAGCATAACAAAATGAATTATGTCTATAAATTAAAAATATGATAGCAAAAATGGAAAATACCTACAAAAATGGATGAAAACTGATGGAGGAAAACTAAGAGAAAAGAAAAATGAGTTGGAAAAGGGAGATAATGAAAATTAGAGATATTTTCTAGGAGTTCCAATATCACATTGTTAGGAATTCATAATAGAAGATAGAGGGAAGTGTATAGAGAAATAGTATTTTAAAAGTAGTAGAATGTTA